ATATTTAAGTCATGCTGGAAATTTTCTGACACACATTTGCCCCATCTTTATGTATATATATATATATATATTTTTAAGAAATATAATACTAAAAATAAACGAGAACTGACACACGCGCCTAGAGAAACTTCTTATTCTGAAATCTCTGTCTGGTTCAGACTTCATCCTGGGATGATGTATCGGGAGAGTTTAAGCACGGCAAAAAAGGAAGTTCTTTATTTTTTTCTCTCTCTTCTCAAGCAAGCCGGGATTCCTATTTCTGGACGTGAAATCGATGACAGTGTGTCCAAAGGGCTCTCTCTGACCTTGGGGAATCAAAAGTTTTCTGTAGGCCGATATTTTCATTACTTTTTTTTCTTCTTTCGTACAATCCGCATTCCAGTGATTCTGTCCTGCAGTATTCCATTTACGCTCCAGTTATTTTTGGGGTGCTAAGGATGAGGATCGAATTTCTGGGGCTGTTCCTCCAGACTTGACTTGGAACACGTTCTGCGAGGGAAGCATCCGAGATAATGTTTTGGCCATTCTGTACAAAGCTACGAGTTTTACGTACAAGCACTTTTAAATGAGCCACACTTTTCTTAAAATGGGAGCCATTGGGGATTTGATGTTGTGTATTACCAAAACGAACCATTTCATCATTTGAAACTTTACAGTAATCAATGTTTTCACTGGATTTTTTTTTTTAAATTTGTATGCCTCGTGCCTCAATTATGTATGCTATTTAAATGAGGAGAGGACGTACAGATTTAAATGTCCCTAATTTACGTGTTTGCATAAGAAAAAAAAAAAGGGAAATTATCACCAGTTTGCCATGATCCATATATACTAAATTTCATCAAAATCCGTTGGATAGAACAGGTTCTAGAGGTGTCTGATTAGAGTCACTTTAATTATAACCACACCCTGTTTATATAGAGAGAGATAGATAGATACCAAGTTAATCCAACTCGCAATAATGTGCGCAATCAGCATGCAGGAGAACTCAGATTCAATACCACAGGCAGTATCCGTTCTAGTCATATTTTGCAGAAATGAAAAAGTCAGTTATATTTGTGGAATCGTTACTTATGATTTCTGGGGGGGGGGAGGTATTAAAATATTTTTTTATATAAAATAAAATAATAATACTATACATCTAATAATTATATCATTATATAGGATGATAATCTACATAAAGAGATTTTATAATGCGAAATATTATATTTATTAAAACAGAGCAACATTATTTCTTACCATCCAAAATACAGTTTTCGAAAATTTCTCAGTGCGTTTAATAAAATTATTTATGCTTTCTAATTAATTGGGGAGAGGTTTGAATTATTGTTAATTATATATCATTATATTTGCAATTCGTAGTATTATTAATCATAGTAATAAATAATTTTTACACAAAGAATATGAATAGTATCATGCACATTATTAGTATACATCATCATATTATGAAATCGTAAATAGTAACCTCAAGATTAAGAAATTTCTGCATAACAAGCATTTTTATATGCTCTACAGGACAATGATATCAACTGAAAAAAGAAACAACACGTCATATAACCTTGCCTCTTACCTAAATACACACACACACACACACACACACACACATATATGTATATAGGACAGTACAAGTGAACAAAATGAAATTTCATAATTTTACGCTTATAACATGCTTGTCAATAACTACTTGCGTATATGAAATTAAAAATGTTATTGTTTTACACAAACATAAACTCTAACGTAAAATTAGCATTTATTCATCCAATATATGTTTAATTATCTATTATTACGTATCATTATTTAATGAAGGAAATAATTCGTACAGCATCACGCTATGCATAAACAAAGTAATCATTTCCATTCATAATAATAATCATAATTTTAGTAAAATCATAAAATTAACTTTTAACATGCAAGGCAATTTTCATTATGTTTGATTTAGAAGCGATACGATTTTTTTAATTATTATTCTAAACAGAAAGTTTAACATGAACAGCAACATCCAACCATCTTGATATTAGCCCAAAAACAAACAGCACTTTAACACGGGGAGCACAAAAGCAGCGTTAAAATTAATACTTTATTCAAGGGCGTTCTTAACATGGTGCCATTTAAATTTTATCGTTACCATGTATCTCCAAATCGGCAATACGTTTAAAAGACAACATCAAATAAGAGAACGCAGGCCGAGATCTCGTAAAAGCATTACATTACGCATTCCATTCTTTGGAAAACATGTCAGAAACATAGCTTTGGTATCAAATAAATAAAATCTATTAACGTCAACATTCCATCCTACCACCCTTCCCCTCCAACACATTTAAAGGAATGGATGTACTCTTTTATGACCCGGTATATCATTAAATATCTCCAGCGACAGCGTTGTATGAAAGACGAACAAATTACCACGCTATTCGAACTCAAATGCGGTGTTTAACTTCCAACTCATTTACAGGGGAGGATGGAGAGGGATATATATGTGTATATGTATAAATGGCATCCGCAGAAGGTGCAGGCTATTAACGCGAATGCTGAAGAAATAAAACTGTCCAATCAGTGGATCAGAATTTCCAGTGATTACGGGATCGGGATCTGCCATTTGAGGAAGTCAATTAGAGGGTATTTTCGCTTCTTAAGTTTTCTATCTTTAACAAGGAAGCCAATTTCAAGAATCGCATCGATTCATTGGTTCCTCGATTCTTCTGCAATGTATGCTGCTTCCCGGCGTTAGAAGATGCTTTTTTTTAATATAGATTTATATTAGTCTTGATCTGTTGCACCAACATTAAATTAGAAGCAATTTGTAAGGTGCTTTCATCAATAGAAACGATAAAATTCGTTTTTGATACGTTCTTTAATTTACTTTTTTTTTTCACTGTGGGAAAAAAAAACGAAACGTCACGAAACGAAACGTGTGTGTATTTTTAGTGAAGTTGTGTTTATTGTTAGGTTAGATCGAGACAGAAATTTAAATTTGGTCCTTGACCTTGCAGCACACAAACATGGGATACCCAATGGGGTCTTTACCCCGCAAGCTTTTACCCATTTTAATCGCATTTTATGACCTGAGTGGGCTACAGTAGGGTTATTCAATACTGGATCCACACGGGGCACACAATTTGTAAAAATACGAGTTTGGGATTAAAACAAATTGCGAAAAAATTTTAATAACCATTTTTCTGATATTTAAAAATTTACTTATCTAAAAACATTATTAAAACATTAAAAAAATGACATTATTAAACTAAAGCTGTTTCATGCTTTAAACTTTCAACAAAGTCTGAAAATGTTTGAATACAGCTTGTGTTAAGCGTCTCTCATCAACTGTCTTCCTGCTTATTGGGAGATTCTAGCTTTATTTCCTACAAGGCATATGATAAAAAGCATTTAGAAAGAAAACGAACTCCCTTCATCAACCATCGGTGGGCTATTTGTGATATAAATAATTAGAACAAGAGGCTGAACCACTAAATGTACCTTATAAAAACATGTATTAAGCTGTTCATTGTTTATTAAAATAGTGACAATTAGAATTGTCACTTTTTTAATAAGCAATGAACATCTTTACTTTCTAAAGAAAAAATAATTCAAAAGACTTTAAAAGACAATAATTTCAAAAGTAATAATAAAAAATCAAAAAAGTAATCAATGGTGATAATTCAAAAGTAATCAAAAAATAATTTAGTCAAAATTCATAAAAGTCACCGACATATTCAAAAGACTTTAAAAATGTCGGTGACTTTTATGAATTTTGTTTCATATAATAAATGGAACAAAATGATTATTTTTACGACTATTAATTCCATTAATTTTATTTATTCTTTAAAATAAAAGAAAATAAAAAGAACTCAAGCTAACCTTTCCAAACAAGCACTTAAATTTACCATTCAACTTTGAAATGGCTTCCACTTAAAAGATTTATTTCCATCTAGACTTGAGTAAAATCAAACACTGACTTGAAGGCTGAAGATCACCCAACTCTTGGAGATTCCTCGACTTCAAAGTCTTGTGCATCCAATCCCCTGATCAGGTCGGTAATTCTGAGACACAGCCTCGGGGTTAGTTCCAACTCATAATGAGCTCAACATCGCAAAGTTAATATCGAAATCCATATTTAATGCAAACTTCGCATGAAGAGAAGACGTCTCAATTTCGAGTGTAGTCCAATTTTCGATAGACGTGGAAACAGATTAACATTGGAATTTCATTCCCAGTTCCACGTAAAAGTCGGGAATGGAAATTACGATCCACTTGATTTTCTTAAATGAAAGACTGGTTAAATATCGAACTCGATGAATTATAGGATACTCATCGAGGTTTCTCAGATGCGTGAATAATTCAAGTATTAATAACATAGTCATAGAATAATTAATTAGTGGTGAGAATATCGTTGAATTTTGCAAAAGAAGTAATATTCGATACAAAAAATAACAGGAGCATGGTGTGGCACAACAATGCCGTCTGAGGTCAGCTGCAAATGTTTCGAATGGGGTCCCTCAATGCAAAGTATCATCATCGCATTTTCTTTTTAATAAAGTACTGGCTATGATATGTATTGTTGGTTGTTACTCTGAACTTTTAGTTTAAAGAGGGTACTGAATAAAATTACAAGTTTTTTAGTAAACATTTTACTTATTAAAATTCCTTTTTTCGGGCTTTCTGATCAGCAAACAACTTTCATTTCCTAGAAGAATAAACATTTGAATATTTGAAATATCATACGATATTTATTGTTGTTGTTGTTGTTTCTTATCCCACTTGGCTGGCCAAGCCCATACGTACTCATGATTGAAGGAAGCAGCTTCTGTTGGGATGGAGCACCCGTAGGTAGAAGCCTGACTTTTGCTCCGTGACGCTCTTACAGTCATAGGAGACCGGGACCTACGGCTTAAAGTGGATTCCGAACCACTACAAACATCGATGGCACCGCCGGGATTCGAACCCGAAACCTGTGGCACCGAGCGCCAGAGCGCTAGACACTCGGCCATTCAGGTCCCAAATTTGCCAACGGCACGCGGTGTTCCCAGGTGGTCACCCACCCAAGTACTGACCGCGCCCAATGATGCTTGACTTCGGTGATCTAACGAGAACCGGTATATTCAGCATTGTACGATATTTATTATAGTGTAGAAGCGTTTTTAATTGCTCTCTAATCTAAATGCAGAAATCCTGTATAAGTAATATTTTCATATTTCCACAAAATTTGTTGCCAAAACATTTTCTATTGCGCTTCACACAGTAGATGCGGTTATATTCCTAGTAATATATGAACGCAATATTGTTTAGATCAACACATATTTGTGATCAAACATTATTAAACAATTTTATAAACAAAAATTCTATAAATGACAACCATTCCACTCATCATTTTACTTTAGGCAAGTATAGAAATCTAACCAAATATTAAAATACTTACTAAAATAAATAATTTGAATATTGAAAAGAGTATTTTTTTATTATTATTTGTGGTCTAGAAGGTCACATCTTCCATTAAAATGTACTAGCCTAAATTTATAACATCTATATAAACATTATTTTTATATTTCTACAATATTTATTACGAAAATAATTTTCTATTTTTATTTCTTGTGTTCCTAAAAATATATTAACTGTGTGAGCTTGTTGAGATATAAAATTGTTTATGAATAAATATTTCTTAACTATGAATATATACATAAAAAATACATCAATGAAAACCATTTGACTAATAAATTTGATGCTGTGGTTACTATGAGAATCTAATCAAGTACTAAAATACTTACTAAAATACAGAATATGGATATTGAAAAAATTATTTTTCATTCATTGTAAACTAGAAAATCACATCTTCCATTAAAACATACTCGCATAAATTGAGAAATTCTATATGCCCATTATTTTTGTATTTCTACTACATTTATTACCAAAAGCCTTTTCTATTACGCTTCATATAGTAGATTTATTATATTCCTGTACAAATATTTTTAAGCATGAATTTAAAAAAATTCATAAATGAAAACAAGACAACCATTCGGCTAATAACTTTCGAGCTAGGATACTATGAAAACGAAAACAAGTACTTAACC